CAGGGGAGAGTGCTCTCTTGCTGCTCACCTCCTCCTGAAGAGATGCCAGACTCGGGGGGCCTTAACGCCATTACGGCATTCTATGCCGTCCCCATTATAATGGGCTTTAAAGCCGTTGCAGTGGCATAGAACACCGTAACGGCTTAGGCCCCCAGAAGCTCCGCGGTACTTACCTCCGCCGCGCTCCTCTTTGGTAGGACAGCCTGACAGCCCACCCAAGGCAAATCAGGCCCTCAGCAGCCATGTGATCACTGGCTATATGTTTGTGTTCAGTGAAGTCTCCCAAGTATAACAGTACCCCCCATGTACAGGTTTTATGGTGTTTTGGTAAGTTAGATAGTCAAATATAAGGCTTGCGTTTCATTTTTTTCACATTGAAATTTGCCAGTTTGGTAATATTACCTTTGAGACCGTACGGTAGCCCAGGAATGAGAATTACCGCCATTATGGCATACCATTTGCAAAACTAGACAACCCACATTATTGCAAATGGGGTATGTCCAGTCATTTTTAGTAGCCACTTAGTCACAAACTTTGGACTCAACGGATCTCCTCACCATTGCACCTGTGAGTAGAGGTGTGTAGGTGACCTACTCTTTGTTTTACTCTCCCCTAATGACAAAAAAAAACCCTCCCAATTTATAAAGAAGGCAGCTCTAGACTTTATGGGGGCTTAGGCGAAATTCAAGCATGAGGCCCCACGAACACCCAAAGTATAAAATAATAGGGTTGTATTTTGAATGTGTGTAAGGAGCAGTCGCTATATTGAAAGGCGGGTTTGCAGCACTGGATACAGAGAGTCAGTCTCTGCGTTCACTGTGCAGAAGCTTCCAGTGTCACAGCTTCCTGTGCCCCTACATTGTGAGCTCTCTGGCTGTAGTTGTAGCATACCGTAATTTGCAAACAAAATTAATTTTCAATAAATAAATTTAATTAGCAATTATGCCAATTGATTATACACAATTGTGGTTTGCATAGCCTGACAGTTGTGTATACATAAGTACTGGTGTGAAGGGGTTATTGAAAACAAAAATGAAAATTTTGTTTGAGCAAAAAAGCTATAAAAAAATAATTTTCCAAATAATAAAGTGTGTATGATGTATGTCTTCAGTTGGTGACTGTAAGGTACCAGTGGCAGGGAGAGTGTGACAGGACAAAAGAGGCAAATGGGACAGGGTGGGGGGTTGTCAGAGGGAATGAGGGAGAGCGAGTAGGACATGGTTTGATGAGGGAGTGTGACAAGGCGACAGGAGGATGTGTCAGGGCAATAGTGGCATGGTAGGAGGGACGATTGTGTGATAGGATTGGAGGGGTTAATGTGACAAGGCAAGTGTGGCATGGTTGGGGTGAAGGGTGATGTGGCATGGTTGGAGGAGGGAGGGAGTGTGTTAGGATTGTTATGGACAGATGAATTAAAATAAAATGGCTATTTACTAATGTCTATTTATTCTGTGTTCACTATGTTAAAACTGGGTGCTAGAGTAAATATTCCCTTCCCCCCCTACAATGTGTTCAGTTGCTGTTTCCTATGTAAATTCTTCATCCTGCTAAGCATCCCCCTTCCCATCAAGCAAACCTTGTGTAACCAAAATTCCTGTGTTTACTAACTCCTCCCCCACTTCCTTTGTGCCAGTTAACAGCTATATGCCACGTGTAACAAAATGGAGAATCACTGTTAAAGTAACTGAAAGAAACTACTCACTCCCCCTCCCATCGTGTATCCAATATAGGCGGGAGAAGTCTGTAATGATGACACTACATTCTGTAGAGGGGGGTTTAGACAAGAGCCCTTAGACTGTTAACCAATTGTAGAATGTATACTGTATGTTTAAACTGTGACGTATTTTTGCTTTAAGAAGGAGCCCCCACTCTGGGGAATAAAGCATTCCTTGGTTTTTCACTGATCAGAAACTTTGTCTCCGGTGTGAATTACTTCTAGGGAAAGGTATAGATAGACAAATTATCAAAGTTTTCTTTGATCCAAATCAGTTGGCGCGATTTCGAACAGGGACAAAAGGGTTACGTTAATAAGGAAGCCGTAAAATCCCAAGACAGGAGAACAAAGGATTCCCAGAGATTGGAAACGGAGCCTGATCACCTCTGCATATGGTAAATGAGTTACTTACCTATATTTTCCTTTCTTTGGATTTCTCTTATTCTCCGTGCCTTCACGTTCGGCTTCCTGTGGTTAACGTCTTCAGATAGGTAATATATATATGCCCGAATGTCCCCTTTTATATAGAACCTGTCACTTTGTCTATCTACAGCCTGAGTCCTGAGTGTGAGTTTTATGTGTGAAAGTGTCTGCTTGAGAATCTGTTTTACTACTTGCTTCATACTGTTATATAATGCTGCCAAGTGTGGTTAAGCGCTTGCAGATTTAGCCAAGTTCGGGTTTGGTGGAAAAACCCTGGCTATTTCTTTGTTTTAGTTAGACTCGGTGAAGAGTTTAAAAGTTTATTTTATTTGTTTTAGCTAAGCTTCGGTAAAGAAGCTAGTGAGAGACTCGGTGAAGAGTTTAAAAGTTTATTTTATTTGTTTTAGCTAAGCTTCGGTAAAGAAGCTAGTGAGAGACTCGATGAAGAGTTTAAAAGTTTATTTTATTTGTTTTAGCTAAGCTTCGGTAAAGAAGCTAGTGAGAGACTCGGTCAAGAGTTACAAAGAAAAGAAAAGGAAAAGTTAATGTTTATGTGCTTGAGTGTTTCTGTGTGTGTGATTTGAGTTATTATAAGCCGGCATTTATTTTAAGAACTTTGTGATTTAATTACATCTGTATTTTGTGCTTTTGTCTGTGTGTGTCTTGTTGGGTACCATATATGTTAATTGTAATCTATACAATCCGTATCGTCACTATCCTATTCTATCTTTTGTCCTAAGGAGAGCTGTGCTTAGGCAATCACATGGTTAAAAAACTTTGTGCTTGCAAGTCTTCTCCCCCCCCCCCCTCCTTCTTGGTTGCTTTCTCTTGCTCTGACTGCTATGAGTATTGGCTACAGGGGGGATGAGGAATGTAAGGGAAATCTTCCAGCTGCTGGCCATTAACTGGTCATTAGCTGTTGAAAAAAAAAAAAGATCAGAAATGTTATGAAACTAGTCTGTACTTACAATGCATTGATTTGTAAACGAGATGCAGGTCAAGAAAATTTAAAATCAGCAGATAAAGAAATAAATTTGAATATGTTAACAGAAGACAAATCAGATTTAAATGACCAGTGTAACAAAGTAACAGAGCTGTAAAACTTAATTTGAAAATCCGTTAACAATTAATGAAAATTGTGAAATGTATTCCAGTTTATGACATGTCAGTGGATGCATTTACTAATGCTGAAATATTTGAGTCAAATTTGGACAAATATAGCCTAAATGACGAACAAAGGAATAGACTATTTAAAACATGGCTGCCGACTCAAATGCATATAGACTTATTGGTAATTTTCCTGAGGATCAATTAATTAATTTGTGAAAAAATGTCAAGATCTAGATTCAACTGCAATTGTAATTGCTAGAGAAAAAAGTACTTTGAAGGAAGTTGCTTTATTCTTAGATAAAGTAAAGAGTTATCCAGGCATGAAGGGGTTAAAATGACTTGTGGAATTAGGCAAAGAAAGAAGTGCAGATTTTACAGCCCTCGTCCCCCTCCTCCTCCTACGTCTTCTAGAACTCAGTGTGAAAGAGCAATACAGATGCCTGAGCCACTCCCAATTGCCTCAACGGCAGAATATAACTAAAGTTATTTGTGTTTGGTGCACATTATTTAAGATCTTGCAGATATTTGATTCTAGAGTTAAAACCAGCACAAGAATAGAGATATGTGTTTGTTTACTAACTTGTTAGTCTGTACTGTTTTTTTTATTGTTTTTGTTTGTTTTTTCATTGTTTTTATGTATGTTATATTGGTTGTATGCTATTATACAGTAACTCCAATCATTTTACAGAAGGAAAAAACAATAGATTTATTATTTGTTGCTTCTGAGGTTGATTTAAAATCTTTGATTTAATTCATGAGAATGAGATTTTAATATCATGACTGATAATGGATTACTGTATATTGCAACGCCTGGACATACACATGTTTTGGATATACTGAAGACAAAAGGAATAATATATGGGAATGAATAAGGCTGATTTCCCCCTATCCACAGCCACGCCTACTCCTAAAGTAACATCGCGTACATCCTTACTATGCCCTTTTATAGTAGAATTGCCCGAATCCTAATGACCCATTTCACTATATGGTGTGACTTGTTTAAGCCTAAGATAAATTGGCTGATCAGGCTACCTGTATTAACAATGTCATCAACGATGAGTTAGCATCTGTGGAGAAGTATCACTTCAGGTTGTCCCAAATTTTCTTTTAACATAGGTTTTAGTACATAGTAAGGCCCATGCCCAACAACTATATGCAGCCTTGTATAGCAGGCCACATGACATCTATTTGTACCAAGCAAGGCCTGCCTGACTCCTCATTCCTGTCTAAAATTGTTGTCTCCTGCACAAGTGTAGATGGCTCTCCTTGGAGTAGCCTGTTAACTAAGCCTTGCTTTGTGGTTACCTTCACCTGTCCAATTAATCTGCTAGGTGCAGATGTCCTTCCCCCACTTGCAGGCCCCTATCACCTTATTATTTCTTTTGTTCCACACAGTGAAACCTGACCAAGAGGCAAGGGTCCTAGCTAGTTCCCCCAATACCTTTACCTGAATTATACAGGCCCCAAAGCCTGTCCAAGCTCTTACTATTCCCTAACAGGTTAAGGCTCTGGTGTTGAATGGTGCCCTGGTTCCCTGAGACTTTCCATGCAATATCCCACCTCTCCTTGTGATGGACGAATTCTGTGCAGGATAGTGTCACCCTGCAGGGATGATACTCTATTTACCTGGCCACTCTTCTGCCACTTCCCAGGGGGGGGGAAATGATAAGACACTGACTATTATTTTTTTTAGCCTTTTTCTTATGATCTGTTCCGGATTTGCTGGCACTACAGTGGACCAAGTATCTCACCTCAACAATGTCTGCACAAGAAGCTGAGCTATAGGCTCCCATCACAGCATGCAAGATCTCTGAAGGAAGACTGAACTCAGAGGAAGCATGTGGCAACTCTCTGGCTGACTAAGTTGTTCAAGAAGTTGTAAGTGCACTAAGGGAAGTGGACAGAAAAGTGTCTGCTGAAGAAACTCCCATATTCACCATGTAAGATCCTACCCACAGACATCAAGCTCCCGAAGGAATAACAAGCAAGCTACTGACCCTGGAAAGAAAGAAAAAACAAACAAACCACAAGCTGGAAGCCGAAAGGGGTAACTCTTAAAGACAGGCTGTACTTCAACAATCTCAAGTTCTACTTGCCCAAGAACATATACTCAGCAGTGGTCCAGTGGGCCTATGGAGCATCTGTCCAGAACCCTCATGAACTCTTTTGATCAATAAATACTCTGAAGTACCAGGAATTGCCTCTCTGACCAACAGTTACTGTAAATCTTGTGCCATTTGTGCCACGGGCAACTCAGGAAGAATGGAGGAAAGCATCTAGCCAAACCTCTATCTCTTCCAGAGGAGTCAAGTCGACTACATCCAGAATGCCAAAGAATGGCTGATTCAAATATGCACTAATTATAGCAGACATGTTTTCAGGATGGCCAGAGGCCTATCCAGCCACCAAAGTGATAACATAGACTACATGCTGAGTATTGCACCGTGAAAGTTACAGAGATCACCCTGTGGATTCATCATTCCAGAATCAAGCCTGCCTCTGCATCATGTGAAGTAACATTTGTTGATCTTGACAACCCTTTTTGAAACTCCATTCTTAGAGAACAAAGATACTTGTTGAAAATAAATAAATATCAACAAGTGGGTGTTTTGATGGCCATAATAATGCCTGACCACCTGCCATCAATGGAAAGCCGAATACCCCAAAAGGGGACCTCGTGAAACTAAAGAGAAACAAACATACTCCTTACCCTGCAGCCCTCACATCTGAGGTGCCATACGCACAGTCAAAGCTTCTTCAGGATCATCTGCTTATCTTGAGTTTGTGGTGATATTAATATTGAATGTTTAAATGATCTGAATCTGCCAGTACTAGGGTAGCATGAGACAAGATTTCTAAGAATAAGTAAATGTGCCCTAGCCTAGGTTATTATGTCCATACACATAGCACATGACTGTTAATCCCCTCAAACCACACATTAGGACTTTAAAAGACATGGTAGTCATCCCATATTTGAGGATACTAGGGCTGTAGAGACAGGTTTCTCTTACACTAACTTGTGACTTGAATGGATGAAATACAATGCTACTAAACATAACAAGTCTAACTGCTATGTCTGCGGAGGAGCGAGGCCTTACCCAGGTACAGTATCCCTGAACCATCCTCCGGATATGAAGTATGCGTTTTAAGTCTCTACACTGTATTTAAACCTAAGCGGTCAGCATGCGAGTCATGGAAACTTAATACCCAATCATTACTAAAAATATTATGCCCAGACGAAGGCATTACTATATATCCCGGGAACTATACTTGTTATGGGATATATGGTGGGATAGGGCGGTTACAAACTACCTCTCAGATGACCTTCCAGAATAGAATAAGCTTGGAAATGATTTTGGCAGAAAAAGGGGGAGTATGTAAAATACTCCCAGACACCATGACATGCTGTACCTATATTCCAGATAATGCAGGCCCTAATGGTAAGGTAACGTTGGCAATAGAAAAGTTAAAGAGTTTGTCCAACGAGCTGAAACGAAATTCTGGGGCCGCAGATCCATGGGAAAGATGGTTTGGATGGATGACTGGATGGCAAGGTGCTCTGGCCCAAATAGGTGTTGCCATTTTAATAACGATAATCATCCTCGCTCTTCTTGTTTGTTGTGTGTTACCCTGTCTTAAGAAATGTCTACAAAAGACAGTTGATCAGACAATCGACCAGACCACCCTGACCTTCCTTCACCAAGAGATTGACGACATAGACCGTGATACACCACATACACCCTTACAGTCCCACCACACTAAATCTACAGCTACTTCCTCTTAAGGACATTCAGGGATAGCGTCTGTCACTACGGGCAGAAGCCTGTCGCGGGAAGAAGTAGTGGACAAGCTGCTACGGGTTACCCGCGCAGTGAAGTGTTCGAGGCCTGTTCAGACAGATGTGCAAGATAGCCTTTTGTTATTTTTCTATAGGGACAGTATTAGAATGAGAGAGAGTAGTTTTTAGTAAAAATTGCCATTTTAAGGGGGGACTGTTATGGACAGATGAATTAAAATAAAATGGCTATTTACTAATGTCTATTTATTCTGTGTTCACTATGTTAAAACTGGCTGCTAGAGTAAATATTCCCTTCCCCCCCTACAATGTGTTCAGTTGCTGTTTCCTATGTAAATTCTTCATCCTGCTAAGCATCCCCCTTCCCATCAAGCAAACCTTGTGTAACCAAAATTCATGTGTTAACAGCTTCCTTTACTAACTCCTCCCCCACTTCCTTTGTGCCAGTTAACAGCTATATGCCACGTGTAACAAAATGGAGAATCACTGTTAAAGTAACTGAGAGAAACTACTCACTCCCCCTCCCATCGTGTATCCAATATAGGCGGGAGAAGTCTGTAATGATGACACTACATCCTGTAGGGGGGGGGGGTTAGACAAGAGCCCTTAGACTGTTAACCAATTGTAGAATGTATACTGTATGTTTAAACTGTGACATATTTTTGCTTTAAGAAGGAGCCCCCACTCCGGGGAATAAAGCATTCCTTGGTTTTTCACTGATCAGAAACTTTGTCTCCGGTGTGAATTACTTCTAGGGAAAGCGTGCACGCATTAATCAATCAATTTGGAAGGTGTAGATAGACAAAATATCAAAGTTTTCTTTGACCCAAATCAGGATTAAGGGGGGTTAATGTGAAAGGGTGAGTGTGGCAGAGTGTGACAGGGTTAGAGGCATTAATGTGATCGGATAAATGTGGCAGGGTTGCGGGAGAGTGTGACAGAGTGAGAGAAGGTGAGTGTGACAGAATTAGGGGGGGTTAATTTGACAGGGTGAGTGTGGCAGAGCGAGGGCAGGTGAGTTTGGAGGGGTGAGATTAACAGGATTAGGAGTGGTTAATGTGAGTGTGGATGTGTGAAGGGGCTGAAAGTGTGACAGCGTGGTGACGGGTGACAATGTGTGGGGATGTGACAGTGTGAGGGGAGGCTGACAGTGTGTGTGGGGAGAGTATCATGACACTACATATTGGGGGGTGACAGTTTGTGTGTGAGGGGCATGACAGTTTGTGTGTGAGGGGGTGACAGTATGTGTGAGGGGGATGATACTGTGTGTGGGAGGGGGTGACAGTTTGTTTGTGAGGGGTGATACTGTGTTTGTGTGTGTGTGTGGGGGGGTGATCCTGAGTGGAAGGGGTGATCCTGTGAGGGAGGGGGTGATACTGTGAGAGACAGTGGGCTGGTATTGCATGGGAAAGTGGGGTGCTAGTGTGTGGGACAGTGGGGTGAAAGTGTGTGGGACAATGGGGAGGGGGAGGGGGTAAAACTGTGAGGGAGGGTGTAATACTGTGAAGGAGGTGGGTGATACTGTGAGGGAGTGATGTCATGGTGTGCAGGAGGGGGGGATACTGTGAGGGCAGGGGAAAACTGGAAGTGAGGGCGTTGAAAGTGTGAGGGAGGGTGTAATAGTGTGATGGAGAGGGTAATACTGGGAGGGAGGAGAGTGTCGTGCCAAAAAGCATGAGTTGGTGTTTGATGTGTGTTGATATATGTTAAGAGTTGTTTTTTTGTAAACCTTGAGATGACATTTATTGTGGCCTTTGATCTTGCACCAGGCCTAGACCATAAAACATCTAGATAGCTATCACCAGAGCTGGACACAAGGAATTGCATAGAGTGGGCAATAAACTGGCAGACCAACCCCCTCTGATGTCTGCCCACTGAGAAACAACTAGTTTAGATATATAATGCTGGACTATCCAGTTGAGTTCTTCATTTTTTCTTTGGTCAGCAACTTCTAGGAGACCTATACCACCTAAGACTCCCACAAGAATTCTATATGGGGTAAATATATGTAAGGAATTTCTTGTGTTTTCTCCTATTTTATTTTATGTACTGTTTTGCAATTTGTTATCTGTATGTAATTTATTTCTGTATTTTGTACTCAGCACTGTGAGTCTTTTTTGTCAGATTAAATGTTTACTTAATCAGCTTGTGTCTCTGTTCTCTATGAGCTTCACTCTCCAGAGGTAAACACGTTACCAAAAAGGGTTAATTATATGTGTTTGATCAGTAAAAGTAGAACTGTGATTCTATAATTTTCCTGTGTGTGGGGTAACCTAAGACGCCTGGGTTTAAAGTCTTGGTGGTGGCAGTAAAGTGTGTACTAGGGGGTTAGTGTAGAAGGGATTGCAGGGGTTAATTGAGTGCTTGCTGGGACTAGCAACAGGTAACCAGGGGTCTGGTGTCATTAACCCTGTCATTTCCACACTCTCCCCACTGTCTCGGGCCTATAGCCCACGCTCGTGACAGAGGGTAATACTGTAAGTGGGGAAATAGTGGTAGGGAGGGGGTGATAGTGTGAGGGGGCGATACTGGGAGGGAGCGATATCATGGTGTGAAGGAGGGGGGATACTGTGATGGAGGGGGGATACTGGGAGGGAGGGGGGTGATAGTGTGAGGGAGGGGGTAATACTGTGATGAGGGGGTAATAATGTGAGGGGGAATACTGGGAGAGAATTACTGTAAGTGGGGAAATACTGTGAGGGCGGGGGTGATAGTGTGAGGGGGCGATACTGGGAGGGGTAGAATACTGGAAGTGAGGGGGCAATACTGGGAGGGGTAATACTGGTAGGAAGGCGGTATATTGTTGGGGAGGGAGGTACAGGGACAGAGGTGGGGTGATGGTGTGAGGGAGGGGGGATACTGGGAGGGGGGTGATATTGAGGGAGGATACTGGGAGAGAGGGGTTAATGGTAGGGAGGGACCAGAAAGCTGGACCGAAAGCCGATGGACTCCAGGAAAAACTCAAACCCTTCTTATATACCGTTCAGGTAACATAACACCATATCATGCTATAATGGGTATGGAGCTTGGAGTGTTCTTTTAAACTGGTCAAAACTTTATTATAGTTAAAACCTTCTGTGCATGAACAACATTTGCTACACCTTGTCAATATACCTCTTTATTCTTTATCATTACTATACATATTTATTAATTTACTTAGCAATTGATGTATGTATACAAAGTACTCCCCTGATAAATACCTACATATAAGTACAAAAATACATATGTCTATCGGACTTC